TTTTGCAACCATCTACCAGTGGTACCTAATAAAATGTGGATTTTGCAACCATCTACCAGTGGTACCTAATAAAATGTGGATTTTGCAACCATCTACCAGTGGTACCTAATAAAATGTGGATTTTTGTAATCACACATTGATTTTGCAACCATCTACCAGTGGTACCTAATAAAATGTGGATTTTTGTAATTACACATTTGGTGGATCATCCACCAAATGTGTAATTACAAAAATCCTGAATCCTCTCAAAGAGGTTCAGAAATTTTTGATTTGAAATCAGAAAGAAATAAAACATAAATTAAAACAATGCATATTGAAAGATTAAGAAAATTCATAGAGAATAACGCTTTTTAATATTGACAACGATTGAGAAGAAAGGAAAGAAATATAAAGTAGTTTGGAAGTAATGAGAAGTAGCAGTGAGCGAGTAGAATTTAAAGGAAGTATATATTCTGAAGAAGACAAAGAAATCTCCCACAAAAAAGACACATGAAATGAGAAGACAGCAGAGATTAATAAGAAATAAGAAATGGCGCAAGACGAGAGGGTAGTAGATGGAGAAACAGTTAGAACATACAATACGCCCGGAGAATTTAAAAAAAAACCCCAACACACAATACGCCAAGGTGTTGCGTAATTTTGATTCATCCGTCCTCGTTGTACCTCTGACTGGACGGTGTGAAAATTCCTGTCCCACACTATTTCTCCAGTGAATTTAAAATTGTTTTACTTAATAAAACTTCTCTTTTATATATATATCTTTTATATATATCCTCACTCTTAATTTTGTCTTAGTTTAGGAATAATATTTCTTTTATACTCATTCATTAATACAATTCCAATTTCAGTTACTTTATATTCCAATTCATATTTGTATTTTTTGTTGCAATGAATTTTCATAAAATTATCATACATTTCTTTTTTTTCATCCTTTTACTTTTTTTTGCACATATGATCTTCAAAGATTTAAATTTTGTAATATATGAGAAGTTTTTGAAATAAAAATTGTTTTTATTACGAATTGCACGAAGTATGAAATATGTTACGAAAAAAAAAAGAAAATTTGATTGATTACATTTTTATCACTTATTTTATTTTCACTCGTTTATCACATACTTTTGATAAATTAAGTTATCCATTTCTTGCATTCGTTCATTCAAACAAATTGCTATTATTTTTCCTGTTTGATTGATGTGATAATTCTCGTTGGAAGTAAATTTGTTCCTAGTAAAAAAGCAAAAAAAAAAACCTCAACTTTTTAATGGGTTTTTTCTCCATAAAAGTAACAATTTAAATAAAATGAAAGGATGAAAAAGGAAAAGATTTAGAAAATAAATAAAATTTAATGTTTACAATTGAGTAATAAAATTACGAAAAATTATTTTTCAAAAAATGTTCTTTTTTTTTTAATATTAAAATTAGAACAAACCTGGATTAGGACTTTTAGCAGCATTTGATCGATTCTGTTTTTCAAGTTCAGCAAGTTTTTCAGCATTTAATTTTTGCTTATCTAATTTTGGTTTTAATGTTATAAATGAAATTTTAAGATCATCAGTAACACGCATAATTGATCCACAATTACCATCGCTACCACAATAATTTGGTGCGGAAAAAATGGTACAAATTTTTTCATCACAATCAATATGATGACCATTTTTTACAACTTCATGTGCTCGTACTATCATATCAATATCCAATGCCTGATAATAATGAATAATTACTTATCACTTAATAACAATTAACTAGTAATTATTGTTTAATAATGATGATAATTAAACAATAATAATTAACAACAATAATAATGATTTTTTTTCTTTTCATTATTTAATCCAATATTTTTCGACAATGAACAACAACAAATACTTGATGATAATTAACAATAATAATTAACGATGATAATTATGATAACAGGGATAATTTGTTTTTCCTTTTTTTGTTATTAAATCTAATACTTTGTTAGGAGAACAAATTTTGTTTTTTATGGTTTTTCTTCTTTTTTAATTTTAAAAATTTTATTTGATTAACACTACCAAATTAGCTTGTTTAATAAAAACAAAAAAACGTGTTTATTTAATAAATTAAGTCGTACAGGGCTGATATTATTAAAGAAAGAAAGGTATATGATAAAATATTTCTTTTAAATTTGTTGTTTTTTGTTTGTTTTTTTTAAATATATTTTAAAATTAAGAAAAAGAGAAAGAGAAAGTAATAAAGTATACCTGTATACATTCTTTAATCATATCATGTCCAAACATCCATGAAGCATTACGAACTTTATTTGGTGTAAAACCTTTAGCGCATGGATCATTATCCGGATCAGACCACATTAAATCAAGTGCTAAGCCGGAATCACAATCTGTTTGACTTCTTGGTTTCTTAATTTTTCCCTTTCGTTTATTAAGTAATCTTATTGTTTGTGCATTTCTTTTTGCTATTTTGTACTTTTATTTTTTGCAGTTTTCAAATTTTAAATTCGGTAATTTAAATTTTTTTTAAAAAAAAAAGAAAGAAAGGAAGGATGAAATAATATACTTTCAAATTTTTCAACGAATGCCATCCATGTATTAATGGACTTATACCACCATGCATACAAATTATTCGATTATTCACCTAAATTATTATTTCATGAAATAAATTTTAAACCAACATTCTACAGGTTAATTTTAAAATCTTCATTTCACAAATGGCATTGATAATTAATTGAGTTTAATTTTTTCCAAATTTTTACTCATTCATTTTTCACTAATAACAAACTTATTCATATAACTTTAAGATTTGAAATATTAGGAAAATGTGATAAAATATAATTGTAATTTTGATTTTGCCAATTACAATTTTTGCTAATTTTCTTAATATATAATTAGGATCAAAGGTCAAAAATTTTGTTATAAAATGAATTTGGCAAACATTTGCACATAATGGTAATTCATTGAATGCTTTTTGAAATATTTTCCAAATTGATGTCGTACGTATTCGTTTACATTCTTGATAAAATCCATAAGTTCGATTCATTTTTGTACATTCATGATTACCACGTAAAAGATTAATCTTATCCGGATATTTTACTTTAAAACAAAATAATAACATTATAACCTGAAATCATTCATTTTTTTTTGCTATATTTCAAAAATGGATTAAAATATTTAAAAAAAAAAAAAAGATGTAAGAAAAAAAGAAAATAAGTATGAATAACTTCAAGTCCTTTTTTACATCGATCAATATAGTCACCCAAAAATAGGAAATTTTGTTCCGGTGGTGTACCAATAATCTTTAAATAACGCATCAAATCACCAAATTGTCCATGAATATCACCAAAAATGATAACTGGTGCAGAAATTTGAATTAAACAACCAACTGGTTGTAATATTTTATAAACCTAAAAAATAAAATTTAAAAAAAAAACTTTTTATCCAAAAATTAAGCTTAAAAATATTTTTTGTTTATATAATAGGAAGACTTTTTCTCTCTTTTTTTTTTGCTGAAATTTTTTTCATTGAATTTATTCCAAATTATAAAAAGAACTTACTTACAGCATCAATAATTGCGATTAATTGGCAATCAGAAAAACCATCCAAAAATTGATCGGTCATTAAACGATGTATCATACGATCCGCTAATACTGATAATTCTTCCGACATCCTTTTTTTAATCATATCAAATTTAGCATACATATATTTTATCAAAATTAATTCAACTTGTTTAATTTGATTAACATTCAATTCAAATTTAAATTCAGTTCAATTCAATTCAGTCCAAATCATATTTGCAGAATGATCTTTGATTTAAAGAATCTAAAATTTTCAAAATATTGATAAAATGAATGATCAAAAAATAACTGATGGAAAATATTACTAGACAGCATTTTATTTGAAAAATATTACCAGAGAAATTATAATTTTATATTTTTACTTGATACTTAATTAATAGAATGAGATGATAACAACAACCACTCAGTGTTAGATTCAAAAATTATCAATAATAGTTTACAAAGTTAAATGATGCTTTTACATTAAATATTAACAAATTATTCAAAAATTTTCCATTCCCTAATGATATGAAATTATTTACACAAATAATTAAGTAAGCCATTCTATTCCAAACATTTCTAATACATACATTTAACTCATTTACGTAATAAGTCATTACATCTTTGTATTAAAATAGTTGAAATTAAAAGAAAAAAAAGAACAATTTTTAAGCTATTTAAAAATTTTCTGTTCGAAACAATAATAATAATAATTATTATTATTATCACAATTATAACTATAATTATGATAGCAATAATTATTATTATCATAATGATAATAATAGTAGTAAAATTATAGTATTAATCCAAAAATACTAATATTTGTCATTCATTTTATTTACTATTTTATTTGAAGATAGCACACAGCTTACACTAATTAGTTATGCTTTCAATTTGAGCCATAATTGTCGACTTATTGAAGTGTTAATTACAACAATAGAAAGCTTTTTATTTTTTTAAATTATACAAAATTCAATCAAAAATACACAAACATATAAATGTGTAATTTACAGTTAACAAATGTCAAATAGAATTTACAAAGAAAAAAAAAAAGGTATAAATGCAAATAATCCTATAATTTATCATTATAGGATGATTTTTTTTAATAATGAATAAAATGAAATTGAGGACAGTATGTTGTTTAATTTTAAAATGAAATTTAATATATTTTCAACAATAAAAAATTTGACAATTGTGCTTGTAAAAATTAAATTTAAAAAAGTGTGAATCACCATATTTTACACAGAAACATAGAGATGGATAACTTTATATTCGT